TTATTCGTAGAGGTCTCGAATGTTCAAATTCGAATTTCTTTCTTTAAGATAAAGAATTCGAATCTTGTCGATATATTCGAATCTACTTGTGATACGTTTGGCTGTTTCCACTGGAATTACAAAGGAGTGAAACGATCGATTTTTCACTCGCAATCGCACCGAATTTCATCTTTCTTTCGATGTGGAAACAATCGGTGAATTCGGGAATAATTAGAGTTCCTGACGTTTCCTTGTTGGTAGATGGTTTGGTTGGTATGTATGAACAAAGCAGAGATCGAACTGTTGAAATTTTCTGTTTGACCTGGGAATTTTCTGCATCGAGAAAACAGGAATTATTATCTTTTTTATATTAAAAAAAAAAAAAAAAAAAAAAAAAATGGAATATATACATATTTTTGAGTAAATAGAGAAATTTTATTTTCTCGAAAGTAGAAGAAAAATTGTTGGAATTTTTTGTTCGATCTGGAAACGGTAATTTTTTTAGCTTTTTTGTATCGAGAAAAACAGGAAGGGGGGAAAAAACGGAAAAAACAAAATGAAGTGAAATATACATTTTTGTGGAAATAAAGAAATTTTATTTTCTCGAAAGTAAAAGAAAATTTCAATTGAACATTTGCATTTGTGTTTATTCCGATTTGATAAGGTGTAGAGTTACAAATTTCCTGTTGATGAGATACATATCGCTCGTTATAATTATTTAAATGTTTTGTTACAAAATATATCAAGATATCAAATTGGAAAGTTTGCATAGTTTGAGAACACACGATCGATAAATAACATAGTAGTAATAATTTAAAAGAAATTATAATTATAAATATTTTTATAAATGGAAATATAGAAAAATTTTTTTATTGAAAAATTTACCAAATTTGTGACCAAATTTTTGAATTTTTTCTCGTACGATAAACAATTTCCAAAATACAATTTTTAATCAATTTATCTTTACATATATTAAATTTTATATATTAAATACGTTAGATCGCGTGCCATTCTTCATTTTATTCAGAAACGGAGTGATTTAATTTGCATATAAAGAGATATTATATGCGTTCAATCAATTTCCAGGCTAATATAATATTTTGAAACGCGATTGAAAATACATTGCATTCGAATAAATCGAAAATATTTTATCTTTTTATAATTGTTGTTAATTTCCATAACGTTTATATTTTATATTTTTCATAAAACTCTTATAATTTATTTTTAAATACGTTGTTTAAATAACGAATATAATCGATATTTTAGAAGATATTTCATTTTTATTAGATCAATTAGACTTATCAACTCGATAGATGATTTTCTAATTATTATTATCTTAATCAAATTTTATTATTATTTTAATTTATAATTTTAATTTATTATTATTATCCTAATAAAATTTCTGGTCAATAAAAATCTCGATTGATTAATAATTTTCAACGAATTAATAGAAAATACTATTCCATATTTATAACGAACAATTTTCAAATACACAATTCACGTTCGATTATATTCTCCTCCCCATTTTTCAAACATATTTCAATATTTAACAACAATTTTAAATCTTATTTTAAATAAAAAAAATCGCGAATACGTAAGGTTGCGCAACTGAGATATTTTCTTTTCGTTCGCTCCGCGTTCGAAGCTGAATCGTGCGAAATTCAACGACGATGAGCGCAAGAAAACTTTCGAATTTTCGTAAAAATGAGATCGAATGAATTTACATAACCCCAATTAAATGAAAATCGGGTGAATGCAAAGCGGACGAATGAAAGTATTCGTTTAGGCGTTTAAAAAAGTTTCCATCCACTCCAGATGACTCGGAGGATTCTATGAAAAAAAAAAAAGAAATTACGTTTCGGGCAAAAATATTCGAAAGTTCATGCAAACGCATTGAGGCGTCGATTATTCGAACTATATATATTTTAAACCAATTACATCCAACAGAGATAAATTAATTTTTTAATATATCATTTCTTTTGAGCGAATATAGAGTGGCTTAATTAAAGATATTTGGGGTAATTTCAAAGTCTCGAGGAACTTTTTCCTTTGCAAAAGGAAGTACATAATTTTATTATTAATTTAAAAAAAAAATCTTCAATCAAGATTCCCTTTGCAAAAATTAAAAAGTTATTAAGTTGTGTTCCTACATTTTTTTTTAAAACACCCTGTACATCTACTAAAAAAAAAAACTCGTAACATAAAAAATATTAATACTCTTCAATTTTTGCAGAGGAAAAAGTTGCTTGAAATTCTATCTAAACAAAAAAATCTTTAATCAAGATATATTCCCCACTCATATTTGAAAATAGTAAGAAGAATCGTTAAATAAATTTGTCTTAACAATTTGATTAATTGGTTAATTTAATTAAATTCCGTTGTATTGTGTAATACGTGTAAAAGATTTCAACGACAGATAAGAGAGAACGTATCGATGAACATTGAACCAGCGTGGTCGTGTCGGTGTATTAAGGAAAGCCTTAACGGATTCTCGTTCCGTATTTAGAAGAATGCGTAATCGAGTTCCGGTCACGCAGTGCGTACCGTTCGATGCACTCGAAGACATCCTGAACGTGGTTAGACATTTAACATATTTTCACACATTTGTTATTCGAATTCCTGTTGTGAAATCGAATTTCTTTTTTTTTTTTTTTTTTGGTAAAAATTTTATTAGATTTTTATGCAAAAAAGAAATTGTAAAGAGGTGTAATTAATGGATCGATCGATTGATTAAAATATAGTTTTTATTTTACTTACTTTTTAATATTAATGATGTAATAGAATGTATGTTTTGTATATTTGTATATTTTAAAATATAATATATGTGTAACGATACTTTTAAGAAACGAAGAATTTTTTAATTTTTATTTCTTATTTTGAATATATATATTATTTTTTCAATATTTTTTCAATCATTTTAATTATTGGTTTAATTGTCAATTAAATTGACATCTCGATTAATTTCGGATGTCTCTATTCATCTATTTTTTATTATTCGATCGATCGAAGTATGAAAAATAAAAAAAAAAAAAAAANTGGTATTTTCATTATTGATTTAATTGATTGACTAATTGATACGTCGTTTCGGTTAATAATGTGAATTAAATCAATAAATGAAAATAATAATGTATAAGATTTTGTTGTTTGGAATACATGGAAGAATATTGTATATTGTATATATTTGTATACTGTTGTACATGTACATATCATATTAATCTGAAATAACGTGGAACATCAATTTCGTTAAATTAATTTAGTCTATCGACAAAACTCCCCTATAACTGTGTAGTATCGATAACAATAATACGCAGCCAATATTGATTATAAGTCACATTATATCGCGTCTTTCATAATTTTCACTTGCTAATTAAGCTTTAGTTCCATTTTGTATTTCGAATTTGATGAACAGTTCAATGTAATCATTGCAATTATGAATTTTCAAATATTTTTTTTTTTAAAAAGGTAAATTTCAAAATGAAAAAAGTTTTATTACAAAAATATAGAATTACATTAAATTACTATAATATTACAAAAATTATATTATTAATATTCTTCGAAACTAGAGTTTTCAACCAATTATATTATATTATTATATTATATATTATCTATGATCTAACAATTTATAAAAATTGGAAAAATTTTATATTCGCAAAATAAATATTTAACTTTTATCTTCTTTGAGAAAATGTCATTAAACTATTGAAAAAAAAAAAAAATCACTTGTAAAATTGGAATCGATTTCTTGTGGTTACGTTTCGATATCTCGATATCTAAAATTGCGAGTTTCTGCGGAAATTAATTTCTCGCAACTGTCAATACGCGTAACCGTATCAAAAGAAAAAAAAAAAAAAAAAACAAACTCGGATATTAGTTCTCTTAGCAATCTCAAGCCGCCTATTCCTCGACTTCAAGCAGAAATGCGTCCTTCTTTTTCTTCAAATATACAGAGTGTCCCAAAAATATGAAAACATTCGTTAATTTGAGAATTCTTGAGATAATTTCAAGCAAAACAATTTCCTTTGTAAAAATTTCTTTTCCTTGCGTAAAGACTAATCGATGATAAAAAATTACGAATCGATTTGTATCTACTATATAATAATAAACTATAATGTTCAATATTCAACTTTCTTCGATATATGTAGCTTGGACTTGTTCTTGCTCTATGTTCTTGCTCTATAGTGTTTTTTTGTTATAATATATAATAACTCGTTAACAAAGTTGTATTGAATTACCTCGCCAATCTCCAGTTAACGAATGTTCCTATATCTTTGAGACATCTTGTATAGTATCTTGTGGCGCATGCACACGTGATTTCACGCGATCTATTTAAAAGAATGAGAGAGAAAGAGAGAGAGAAGAACTACGAGTGATCGTGCAATGACTCGGAGGATAAGGTAGGTATCTCTCACGGATCGTTGATTCACTGTTGCGCAATAGTTTCGTTACTCGAGTAAAAACGATAAACTTTTATGGAACGCTGCGCACTCGTGATTATTTCACGGCAGTTCACGAAGAATTAATTTAAGAATTGAATAAAGGAGCATATGCACAATGTAGAATTAAATGAGCTCGTAAAAAATACATTCGATAAAAAGTATATTTGATCGAATTTGAATAATATATTTCCCTATTAGGTTATGTTTCTGTTTCTTTGAAAAAATTATACGATAGAATGTCGATTTGTCGAATATTGACAAGAACAAGATAGAAGAGAAAAATTTCAAATTATATTATTATTTAATTTTGTGTAAATTTATACGTAGATTTAGATAGATTTTTATTAAAATCAGGATTTTATAATAAATTAAATGAATTTTTCTCTAAAATAGTTAAATATTTTTATAAGTAACTATATATTATTTTTTAGCATGGAATGTTGGAGTATTGAATTAAAATTTTTTAAAAAAAAATTTTAAAAAAAACGAAAAATCAAATCATTGCGATTGCAATTTATGGATATTTATTTTTTCAAATTAAATAAAAATAAATTATCTAAAAAATTAATTACGTGTGTTTTACAGATGGATACAACGTAATTCTGTGAGATTACAAACCGAAACGAGAGCCCATTACGGCCATGTATCTTCGAAAGGGTATGTGATTTTTATAAAAATATAATTAAACTACCAATAATACAAATGAAATAAAATGGAGGAAAAATGCACGAAAGATCTCATTTTCTGTTCAACGTAATATTTTATCTAATTTTATCGACTTCAACTTGGCCAATTTTCCGATTTTCAATCTTAATCTATTTTAGTCCTCTTAAGATTTAGCGTACAAGCTTAACCAGACTTTTGAACGAATTACACGTGTATACAAGAAGATAGACATTCGTATTAATAGGGCCATAGAAAAGTTTGCGGCAGTTACTAATTTTCATAACTATGAGAGTGAATATTATGCAACAGTTTAGCCGCATAGTTCTTGCAAGATCAAGAGCTTAGAAAGTGAATTGTCGAGCAACAAGTTATCAGTTATGTGCAAGTATATTTAGAAGATATTTAGAAGACAAATTTTAAAGAAGATAGTGGCACTTGCTCCATCTTCGTCTCACTTTATGTAACGCAAACTTAAATTTTTTCGTAACTCGATAATTTATCGACGTTTTGTAATTTTTGTGTTTGTTTCGACCTTTTAATTATTAATAATTATTAATAATTAAATTTACCCTCTTTGAATATATATTAATATCCTTTATATATATATATATATTATATTGTCGAAAAAAAATGAACAAATAATTATTAAGGAATTTTTCGAAACAAAGAATAAATTTTTTATTTTTTTTGCAAAACTATTGCTTTACAAACACGCTTGAGAAAATTTGTAAAACGTAAATAAAGTCATGTATTTCTGTGACCTCGCTTCAAAAGCTATACGAACTCCACAGAGCATTTGTGAGAGGAATTAGACCGTTAAATAAATCAGAATGAAAGACATACAAAATTCATAGAAGCTTTTGAAATCAAAATAAAGTGAAATCGGTTATAATTCGTTGGGGGATTAATTCGAAAAATTAATTAATCGTCTTTCAAATTTTATGACAACAAAATTGTTTTTTATTGAACCTTTAGATATGCACTATACAAATCCATATAACTTTCTCAAATATATTTCTCCATATTTTTTCAACACAAAAGTTACAATTATTTCTACAATAGTCGAACGATTTTTCCTCCAAATAGAACGAAGTAAATTTAATAAACTGAAACCTGACCATTGATTGGTCGATCGATTTATTGTGTAAAATAAAAAAAACTATTAAATTTACTTCTAAATTAATTACTTTCCAATAATTATAAATATATTTTAACGTAACGATGAATAATTGAAAAAAAAAAAAAAAAAAAAAGAAACGTAATTATTTATTCCATGAAATTTTTAGATTTCTCACGGTTCACATATTCTAACAAAAATATATAAATATAGTTAGTGAAAATTTCTGAGAGATAAAATAAACTTTTCGAAGTACAAAAAATTGTTAGTTCAAAATTTATTCTCAAAATTGAATTATAATTTATTTCTCGAATTATTGCGGAAAAATAAAGAGAAAATGATACGTATCTCTATAAATATAAAAATATTATTTTTATTCGTCAAAATTCTTATTTACCAATCGGAACAACACAGTTTAATCACAGCAGTATATACACCGACGAATAATTTTCACGTTGTATTATCACGTTTTAAACGATCCCATCCCTCTCCCTCCTCCCCCCTCTCCCTCCTCCTTTGTTATAATCGATATTAAGATCGCATTCGATATTATCGAGGCGAGCATCGTTATTTCTTTTTTTTTTTTTTTTTTTTTTTTTTTTTTTTTTTTTTTTAATTAAAAACTCGATCCGAGTTTCAATCTCGAATTCATAAGCAACTTATTCGGCGTATCAGCCGAAGAAACTTATCATCGGCTCTCTTGATTTCCGTTCAATCGATAATAATACTCGCTACGAGCACCGCCCATACATCCAAATACGTTCAATTCTCCCCTTTGACATTTAATCTGTCTTCACCTGTACGCGAAATCTCGCCAAACATTCCCCCCTCCCCCCCCCCTCCTCCCCTCCCCTCTCTCCCTCCTTCCATCCCTCCTCGTGTAATAAACTTTCATAATTAAATTTCCGGCGCATTCGCATTGATATTCACGGACGACAACAGTGTATGTATCCACGGATCTCGACGAATTTGCAGATGTCCAACGCGATATCGAAAATAATTATCATCGTTTATCATCGTTGCGCATTAAAAACAGGGAAAGTGTTCGAGAAATGTGTTAATTTTCGTGTAACGCGAGGAGCCGCGTTTATTATTATCGGATTTCGAATTGTTGTCTGGGTATTCCTTGACAGATAATTATCGTCCATTCGAAGGGAAAATAAAATTTTATCACGTATTTTATTTTATTTCGAATAGAATAATTTTTGATAGGAAAACACGGTGAAATTTATTATTTCTTATTTGTATAAATTATTATAGAAAGTTAATTTGTTTTAATTTTCTTCGATTGAAAAGAAAATGATGTAATAAAATCATCGATGATTATTATTGTTGATGAAAGTATTACGTCGAAACAATTTGAATAAATTACAGTCAAATGAGATCGGAGGTTTAAGGAAAGTTCCACAAAGTTTTTTGATATTTTTCTCTTCTTTTTTCTTCTTATTCGCCAATTATGAAAAACTTGCCATCATCTTTTGTCAACAATCGAACAGCTTTTACTTTTGAACCCTTTCATTATCCTTGCATTACATCCAAATTTAATTTTATTCACTTTTCGTTAAATCGTTGTTCACAATTCGTTCCAATTCTCGAACAATCAGTTCTAATATAAATCGAAGAGTACAAAATTTTATTTAAATTTCTTGCCTCATCAACCTTCAAGAAAATTAACAACAAACAATCGAATATAATTCGATAATAAATTGCAATATTTTCCTTCTTCCACACCTGAATCTCAACCCTTCCAATCGAACCAATATCTAGAACCATCTCTTAAAATCAATCCAACAAATCTAAAAAAATCGAAGGGGGGTCAACCCTCTGTCGATATAATCGTTCGTAATTTTCAATTCTTCGTCAAATTCTCGCCAAATCAACGAGAAAATGTCTCGATGTCTCCTTTTAAATAAAGACAAAGGGAGCCACGAAGGAAACGTTCTTCACGCCCCCCTCCCATTCAGGAATGCATAGAATTTTTCAACGCCCCCAAGACGGTTAAATTTGCATACATCTTTCATTCCTCCGCCTGGTACCGCGTGTAAAATTGTCTTGAGGTTGGTACCAATGAACGCCCCCCTCCACTTTCGTTCGACGATATCGGGCGGTGTACACGTTTCGAGCGATAATCACTCGACGCCACGAGCGACCATTCCACAGGGAAATTTGGAACATTTCCACGGGCGGGGAGGGGGGAGGGGCCCGATGATTAAATACGATTCCGTTTCTAAGGAGGGCGAGGTCCATAAAATTTCTGTATTCCGCATAACGCCCTGAGAATTTCATTACGGAAAGGAGGAAAGGAGAGATGTGTTAGAACGTGTGTTAAACGTAGAGAAAGAGAATTTGTATCTAAAAAAAAATTGTGTATAATTTGAAAGGATACGTTTTATGTAAAACATGGTTACGAATTGTAACAATAATCATCGATGTATCTATTCCTCTCGTTATATTATACGAATTGATTGAAACGAGAGATAAGAAGAAAAATTTGTTTGAGAGAAATATTTGAATATTTTTTTAAATACATTGTTTAAGGAAAATATAGTTCTTTCTAATATTCTTACGATCCTAAGTTTCAACAATTTTATCAATTAATGAATAACTGTTCGAAATATCTAATTATCTAATATAATTTAATTTTTCATTTTTCATTTTTCGTGTATCAAGTATGCATGGAATAATTTTCTTCTGTTGATTCTCTTTTTTTGAGGGGATGAGATCGAACGATTGGAAATACGCGTTTCGCAATTAAAAATTTTCCTCCATCTCGCAACACATTACAGAATTATATGTTTTTTTTGAAATGAATTTTGAGCACTGATCTCGCTCATGAATATCCATTAAAAAAAAAAAAAAAAAAAAAAATCGATCGTTAAAATGTCATTAAACGTGTTTAAACATTTTTCAAAGTGTTTGAATAATTTCCTGTATACGAATATTTAATATCGATGAAAGGCCAATTATCGTGAAAATCAAATAACAAACAAGAAGAAAAACACGTAACAAATAATTTATTTCGCGAAATGAGAAATCGTTTAATAACAGATATATTTATTAAAATATGCTTAATGAAATATTTTTATTATTATCTGAAGAATAGTTTTTTTTACAAGGTGATTTTTACAAGGTGATTACAATTTTTACAAGGTTTTTTTTACAAGGTGATTTTTAAAACAACTTTTTAAAGTGTCAAAGTAATAATTTATTTCGATTACCTGAAAACGTGAAATTTTCGATGCCGATGTGAGCGTCATCCAGTTCATCTTTTTCAACGTTGAACGATATTTTTCATCATTAATTAACGATTACAACGATTACAATATTAAATTATCTAAATAAAGATTGAAGAAAGATTATTCAATTTGATCGATGATTATTTATTATCAATATTCCGTACGCTGATATTCCAACATGAATAATTATGAATATTTCGTTGTAAAATTGATATTTGAATCATCGATACAGTGATGATCAGTTATTTGTTTACAGTTCAACGTATTCATCTCCAATATAGAATTTAAATTGAATTAAATAAAAAAAAAAATCGATCGATAATCGTTTAACGATAATGTCGATTTATATTGGCTAAATTAATTGCTTTCTCCTTTTTTTTTTTTTTTTTTTTTTTTCCGTCTTTCATCGAAGTCAAACGAAGCTTTGTAAAAGTTGAAACACGTTGTATAACACGATTTATTACACGCGTTACTTTTATTGTTGCATTATAATAAACACTGCCTGCCAATCGTCCGCCGAATAATAACGATTCCAGTTAACATTTTATTCGTGCAATATTCGACCAAGTTGATTTTCCAACAATGGAGATATTTTATTTCGTTTAAATACCGGGAAAAGAATTTCTATTCGAGAAATA